GCAAGCCCAGCCAAGGAGCTGCCAGTTCAACCCTAAACCCGAATCCCTACGCCCTAAACCCAAGCCCTAAACCCTAAACCCTAGACCCTAAACCCTAAACCTTAAACCCTAAACCCTAAACCCTAGCCCTAAACCCTCAACCTTAAACCCCAAGCCAGGAGATCTCCCCTGCGGGGCGCATCCCTACCACCTGGCCGAAGACGCTGGACGAGGTGCGTCTTCTTAGCCAGGGCTTTAAGATTTCGGATTTAGGGTTCAGAGTTTAGGATTTAGAGTTTAGGGATCAGGGTTTAGGGCTTAGGGTTTAGGATTTCGGGTTTCAGGGGTTTGGGGCTTCGGGGTTTTAGGTTTTTGTTGGTTTGTTTTGGGCTTTAGGGTTCTAGAGTTTTTGGGGTTTTAGGGTTTATAAGACACACAAATTAGGCCCCTGCATTTAGGGGCGGCCTCCAAGCTACCAGCTCATGGAAAGGACTTCGGGAATAAGGCACCCTAAGCGGCCCTTTGATGTTCCCCTAAGAGACCGGATTGTCTGAGACTAAGACAGAACCATTTAGGGTTCAGGGTTTACCCAGAGCAAAGGGATCTGTACTTGTGGCAAAGAAGGATGTTCGGTACGGATTGTCCCTCAAAGTTACGGAGATATAAGGTACTGAATTCCCTATTCCCTACTAGGGAAGTAAGCAATTGGTACATTTCCTGTGTATGCGGGGTGTACACGTTTAGGTACTGCTTCTAGGACACCTAGTTAGGGTTAAGTTTGAGGTGTAGGCTTCTTTTGGTTGGGTTTTGGGAGTGTGCGGTTAGGTTGCGTGGAAAGTTGCGGGGGTTCTGGGCATAAGGGGTTTATAGGGTGCCTAGGGGTTGAAAGGTTTAAGGGCACGGGCCTGTGTCCTAACATTGGGGTACTCCATCCGCAGACCAAGATGGTACATTCCTCCCCACAGAGGGTCGTCCCCCCCGCCCCACGAAACCCATCAACCTTATAGCCTATAGCCTTCAAGCCCCCAACCCTCAAGCCAAAACCCTAGAAAACAAAACCTCAAAAATCTAAACCCTAAATCCTAAGCCCTAAACCCTAAACTTCAAAGAACCCAAGGCCTCAAGAACCCAAGCATCCTAAAACCCTAGACCCCAAAACCCTAGAAGAAGAGGCTGCTGAGTGCCTCTCAAGGACCCGAAGTAGGCCCTTATTTCCTTTGTTTCGGGTTGGGTTTCCCGTTTAATCCACTTAAAACCAACAAAAACACCCTTTTCATTCTTAAGTTCCTCCTGGGCCCTGAACCCTAAACCCTGAGCCCCAAACCCTAAACCCTAAACCCTAAACCCTAAACCCTAAACCCTAAACCCTAAACCCTAAACCCTACTCCTGGGTCTGGTTCTTGACTTTGGAGGCCTCGTCGGAGCTCTTCGCCCGGCGCGCGGCCGCGCTGGGCGCAGAGGATCGCCGAGGCCCCGCGGCTGCAGAGCTTTGAGGCTTCAAAAAGAGGGCTTGAAAGTGTTGGTTTGTTTAGGGTTTAGGGTTTAGGGTTTAGGGTTTAGGGTTTAGGGTTTAGGGTTTAGGGTTTAGGGTTTAGGGTTTAGGGTTTAGGGTTTAGGGTTCAGGGGCTTTAGGGGCTTTAGGGGCTTTAGGGGCTTTGAGGCTTTAGGGGCTTTCCGGGCTTTATTAGGGGCTTTATTGGGGCTTTAGGGGTTTTAGGGGCTTTAAGGGCCTATGGGCTTAGGGGTTTAGGGGGTTACTTGCTTAGGTCAGGGGCCTAGGGATTTTGTAGTGTTTAGATCAGTTTCAGGTCTAGGGCAACTTTTCAATGTTTGGAAACTGAGAGGCCAACCTCACACATCTTCTGGGTTTTGGGGTCTGAGGGTTGCGGCTGAGAATGCATCTGCGGTTTTCGGTTTCGGGTTTTGAACCCTACAATAAACCCTAAGTCCCAAACCCGAAACCCTCAACCCGGGGGTTTAGCGAGTGAAAAACCATTGGTCACAACCGTTTTGGTGTTCTGAAAAATGTCGGCCCACGAGCCTTCAAAACAGGAGTTCAGGTTTCAGGTTTTAGGGTTCAGGGCTTAGGGTTTAGGGTTTAGGGTTTAGGGTTCACAGTTTGGGGTTTAGTTTGGGACCCCGTCTGCCCCCCCAAAGGCCCAAATAAGACGATGGTGTTTACTTCGAAGCCTGGAGTTGACCCCCCTGAACGAAACAATGCCAACCCAAAACCTCAAGGGTTGCGCGTTACCCGAAACCCTAAACCCTACTACACCCTACTACACCCTACAAAACCCTACTAAACCCTACGAAACCCTACGAAACCCTACTAAACCCTACTAAACCTCAAACCCTAAACCCTAAGCCCTAAACCCTAAACCCTACGAAGCCAGGTGATGTGGTCTACCACGAGGGACTTAACCTCGGCTATCGCGGGATGAGTGCCGCTTGCATGAGAGCATGAACTGGGCCCTAAACCCTAAACCCTAAACCCTAAACCCTAAACCCTAAACCCTAAACCCTAAACCCTAAACCCTAAACCCTAAACCCTAAACCCTAACCTTAAACCCTAAACCCTAAACCCTAAACCCTAAACCCTAAACCCTAAACCCTAAACCCTAAACCCTAAACCCTAAACCCTAAACCCTAAACCCTAAACCCTAAACCCTAAACCCTAGACCCTAGACCCTAAACCCTAAACCCTAAACCCTGAACCCCAGTTCAGAAGGTGGGGCCCCCTAGTTATAAGTAGGGTTATAAGAGCCCTACATTGGGTTATAAGGATCCTAAATTAGGTTATAAGCCCCTTAACTACAGTTAGTATAGTAAGGGGGCCCCTCCTTGTAGATACGATACCTGGGTTAAGTCGTACAAGTAATCCTTGTGGAAACGTAATCTTAAAGACCCCTACCCCTAGGATTGAGCGCCGGGGGGAGGGGTTTAGTGTACCCGTGAACCCTAAACCATGATTCTTAAACCCGAAAACCAGGCTTAGTAGTATTCAGAGTTTACTTGCCATACTGCTTCTCCCAGAAGCCAGGTACTCCTATAACTGGCTGTCCGCCCCAAGACTTTGGTCTGCCTGCAAACGACAACTCGTGGCTGTTCCAGTAAAAAAGGGATCGCCAGCCGCTCACACTTGCATGTCGCCATGTCCCCAAGCCTTGTCATGTTCAGGGATGAGCGCGCGCGAACGTACCGTCGGCGCGGTTGTAAGTAGGGAATGAGGGTTTAGGGTTTAGGGTTTAGGGTTTAGGGTGTATATACTCTTGAAGGGAGTGTTTAGGGCCTTACTTCCCTCATTCCCTACCAAGGGCCAGGCATTAGGGGAATCCCCCAATAGTTGCGAGGCAGGCCCTAAGCACACGGGTGCACACAGATCCCTAACTCCCTAACTGGTCCGCGTAAATGGAAATCGGGGGATCAGGTAGGCTAGGGTTGATAGGGTTATAGGGTTTAGGGGTTTGTAGGATTTACAGGGGATAGAGTTCACAGGATTTAGGGCTTAGGCTTTAGGAATCACACTTCAAGCGAGGCCAATTCAAGGATGAGGGTTTATTGGTTTTAGGGTCAAGGGTAAGAACTGGTGACTTGGAGGTACCCATTGACCTAGATGAGAGGCCCGTTTGCCTATGGTAGGGCGGACCGTGACGGCCAGGCTTTGTAAGCGGATGAAAGGCGGCCAACATGTCTAGCTACTGTAAAGGTTTTTGTTCAAGGGGCTTAAGGAGGGACCCACCCTTATAAGGGACCTCAGGGGTTAGTTAGGGGTTATTTGGGGGCTACTTAGGTGTATAGGGATAGGGGTTATCTAGGGCAATGAGATTAAGGGTCCCTTCTAGGGTCTCTCCTTTTACCCCGACGGCCCAATGTCAGTGCAAACGACCTCCTCGGCGAGGGCATCTGCAGGAAGAAGGCGCAGCACTCCATCGACCGCGGGATATTCTACGTCTGGGCCAACAAGATTGGCACCCTGCAAGTCGCCGGCAACTACGCGCCGTGCTGGACCTCTGCGACCAGCACCTACCAAGTGCTCGGAAAGTGGCCTGACACTCTGTGGAAGCAGCGGAAGCTGACGTCGGAGCAGTACGAGCAGTAGCCTAACAGGGACGGTAGACTTCGGGTCCGTTTTCTTTGCAAGTCTCATGCGAACTCCACAGGTTACAGACATATCCACCGTGGTTGGATCCCCTATAGTGACGTGCTACGTACGGATCTAGGGTCCTAAGTTAACATATTCTAAACCTAATGGTGTGGCAAGCTCTCTTGAGATGTCAAGGAACTGCCAGAACCAGCCTTTCACTTTGGCCACGGTCTTTCCTACACCAACTTCGAGCCACTGGGCGTAGGGGGCTTTTGCAGATATCGGGTTTATGGGGCTCAGTGGGGGTTGGGCTTTCAGCGCCGCAGTCCGAGGGTGGGTGTGTGCAGTTTCGGTTTCTTTAGTAACTGCCTGCAAGAGTTCTTAAGAGTGCTTCCGGCAACCAGGTTTTGTGTCTGTATGGTATTTTAAGAGGAACCTCGTAGCAGCAGTGATCTTTGGCAAGGAATGGAGGACGAGCGGACATTATCGGCAACGCAGTAGAATTGCAAGCAAGAGCATGTTGGCTTTGCGAATGCACTTGCTAATCTGCTTGGGCTGCTATCCGTAGCATAGGAAAGTGAGCTGCTTGTGACTGGTGCCCTCCCGATTGCTGTGAAGCCTTCCCGCAATCAGGGGTTACACAACACGTCAGCTGGCTCGAAGGCAGAAACCCTAAGCCCTCAACCCCTGAGCACTTCAAGCCCTAAATCCTCAACCCCTCAGGTACAGAGGGTTTATATACCCCCTTAACCCTTGAGACCTTAAACCCTAAATCCTCAATCCTCAGGTATACCAACTTCCAGGCGCCCCGACCTTCGAAGTATCAGCTCGGTAGCAGTGTTGGACACAAGTTGAGGGCTTGGCGAGGTGAGGGTCTTTGGTCCAACAGCCTTTGTCAACTAAGAGTCCTTCACTGGAGCCGAATAGGGTTCTGGTGATGAGCGCTCCGGGCTTAGGGTTTTGGCTTTTTTTGGCTGGGGGAAGGGGGTAGTGCGCTTTAAAAGTTATGAGTTGGGCTTAAGACACCCCTTTGACCAGACGGTGGAATAGCAGAGAGACAGACAGAGAGAGAGAGAGAGAGAGAGAGAGAGAGAGAGAGAGAGAGAGAGAGAGAGAGAGAGAGAGAGAGAGAGAGAGAGAGAGGGAGAGAGGGAGAGAGGGAGGGAGAGAGGGAGGGAGGGAGGGAGGGAGGGGAGGAGGGAGCGCGGGAGAGCGGGAGAGAGGGAGGAGAGGAGCGAGAGAGGGAGGGAGGGAGGGAGAGGGGAGGAGGGCGGGAGGAGGGCGTAAGGGAGAGAGGGGGAGTGGACAGCGGAGAGCGGGAGAGGGGAGAGAGGGAGAGAGGAGAGAGGGATGAGATGGGATGAGAGAGGCGGGAGAGGGGGAGAGAGGGAGAGGAGGGAGGAGAGGGAGAGAGGGATGGAGAGGGAGAGGAGGGAGAGAGGGACGAGAGGGCGAGAGGGGGAGAGGAGAGAGGGAGGAGAGGGAGAGAGGGAGAGAGGGACTGAGGGGGAGAGAGGAAGGGGGGGGGGGGGGGGGGGAAGAGAGGGAGAGAGGGAGAGACGGAGAGAGGGAGAGGGAGAGAGGGAGAGAGGAGAGAGGGAGAGAGGGAGAGAGGGAGAGAGGGAGAGAGGGAGAGAGGGAGAGAGGGAGAGAGGGAGAGAGGGAGAGAGGGAGAGAGGGCGAGAGGGCGAGAGGGCGAGAGCGCGTGTGAGAGAGAGGCAGAGAGTGTCAGACCCTTCTTAAAGATTCAGGCCGTCAACTGCAGAAGAAGCCGATGCTAAATTCCCAGCTCTTTGATTTCATGAGCTAAACCCTGAACCCTAAACCCTAAACCCTGAACTACCCCAAACGCTACCTCTTCGGGCAGGTTCGGCTGAAGTCGCGTGATGCCGCAGATGCCGCGGCTGCAGCAGAAGCGACGGTGGAGGCTCTGAACTCCCTAAGCCCTGAGCATCAGGCCTTATGAGCAGGGTTTGGGGTTTAGGGTTTAGGGTTCAGGGTTTAGGGTCTACTTGTTCATGGACAGCATGAACAGGGAACTCACAAGTCTGCACACGGGAGGGTGTAGGGTTCAGGGTCTAGGGCTCAGGGTTGTCCGCAAAACCGAAGGAAGCCCGCAATCCTTTTAGGGCCTTCCGGTTCTTAAGGGCTTTGATTCAGGGTTAGCAAGTTTACAATGCTTGTGAGGGTTAGCCGGCACCGAATCAAGGGTTCTTTCCCTAAACCCTAAACCCTAAACCCTAAACCCCAAACCCCTAAGGGTTAAAATTTCGTGACCAGAGGCCACCAGGCTTTTTGGGCTACTGTGAGCCTCAGGGATAATGGACGCCCGGACCCGTGAGCTGCGGCAGCAAAAAACCTGAACCCCAAAAACCCTTAAACCCCCAAACCTCTATGTCCCCCAAAAAACTAGACCCTAAATCTGCAACCCTAAAGCCTCCTTATCATGAAATCCCCAAAAACTAAACCTTAAATCTGCAACCCTAAAGCCTCCTTATCATGATAAACAATCAGGTGAAGAACATCGGGGACTTCCCCAGCGCCGAGGTGGTTCAGGCCTTGACCTTTTCGGGTTTTTGTTTTGGGTTGTGGTGGGAGGGTTCAGGGCTCTAACCCAGGGCGTTTCTAGGTTTGGGGTCTATAGGGTGTTGGCTTTGGGGCTTAGGGCGCTTTCGGGCCCTAAGCCCTAAACCCTAAACCAAATATCTTCTGGAAGTTGGCAGGTCTACGCCCTGGCTTCCAACGTGCCCCGCGCACTGCGGGCATTCCGGCGCACGGGCATTCTGGCGCCGGGCGAGAGCAGCAAGGCCGCCGGCTTCCGACTTGGAGTCTGGTCTAGGGCCTGGAGGTTGAAGCGTAAGCCCTGTGGCCCTATCATCCTCTATGACCCTGTAGCACAAAACTCTATAGCCCTATAAACCCTAAGTTGGGGGAGGGTGGGGGGCTTGGGCGTCTGGAGGACTTTGTCTTCAGAGGCAGTTCATGGCTCGGTCGAGGGGCGCTTTCAAAGAGCTTTCGGCCCCGGGGCCTCTCTTGGTTGAGAGTTTCACGTTTACAGCTTCATTTTGAGGGTCTATCACCCAAAAGTATAGCCAGAATTAGGGTACTCAAGAGGCTTGAGTCTGGGTTATGACTACAGCTATACTCGGGGTATAGGTTTGCAAGTACACTGGCAAGGGCTGCTAGAAGGTGTCAGGGTTCGTTCCAAGCAGGTGTTGAAAAGCCCCGAAGGTTGTAGATACCCTACCAAGACCACCAGCTATACAAAAACGTGAACCTCCAAACGATCGGGTTCAGTACTTAGGGTTCACCTTAAACCCTAAACCCTAAACCCTAAACCCCAAACCCTGGCAGGTGTCGATGCCGCTCTGCGAACGCGCTCTCGGAGCCTTCTACGACGAGAGCCTAGGCACACTCCAGGGTCTAAGTAGACAGGAGCCTTTATACCCTGAATCCTAAACCCTAAACCCTAAACCCTAAACCCTTCAACAATTGAAACGACCTGGGGTTCTTTATGCACGGTAAACAGGGCAGGGCCTGAAGGTCACTCTGGGTAGTTGCAAGATCGGTGAACCCTGCGCACCAAAACCTTGTAATCATGAGGAACCCAGGAGGGGATGGCAGGATTTGTACATCTTCTGGCCTTGTTTAGGCTTGTTGAGCTCGAGTGATGACCCGAAAGCCGAAACCCCAAACTCTAAACCTAAACCCTAAGCCCTAAGCCCTAAGCCCTAAGCCCTAAACCCTAAACCCTAAACCCTAAACCCTAAACCCTAAACCCTAAACCCTAAACCCTAAACCCTAAACCCTACCCCAACCCCTGAAGTACCCATGAGGGCCACCCGTGTCGGTCCCGCCTCCAGCTGCACTTCGCTTCCCTAAACCCTAAACCCTACCACGTTACCTTGATTTTGGGCAGGCAGGTGGCAGCCTCCGGCTCAGGGAAGCGAAGTGCAGCTGGAGGCGGGTCTGGAGCACCGACACGGGTGCCCCTCATGGGTACTTCAGGGGTTAGGGTAGTGGGTTTAGGGTTTAGGGTTTAGGGTTTAGGGTTTAGGGTTTAGGGTTTAGGGTTTAGGGTTTAGGGTTTAGGGTTTAGGGTTTAGGGGTTTAGGGTTGAGGGTTTAGGGTTACACCGACATGGGTGCCCCTCCTGGGTATTTCAGGGGTCAGGGTTTAGGGGTTAGGGTTTAGACTTACTTTCAGGTTCATGAGCTGGTGTCAGGTAACCATGGATACAGGCTTATTCAGGGTGCTTCTCACTCTACTTCTAGCTACCCATAAAACTTCAAGGAAATCTTCAACGCTTTAAAAGCCATGTGCTAGCCTTGAACCCTATTCCTAACGCCCTGAACCCAAAATGACAGACAGCAGGTATGCGGGGTTTTGAGGTTTCTGATCTCTGGGAAACGCATGACAGCTTCGAGGGTTTCTTGAAGAGTGCCGAAGCCCAAGAATTGCTGAAACCCTGAACAAAAGCCTTGCGAACACTTAGGTAGGTAGGCTTTTGGGACATGTTATGCTTCTTGAGTTTAAGAGGATCATATTCAGGGATATTTTTCAGAGGGTTTTAGGGCTCATCCTAGGTATAAACCTCCCCCCCCCCCCCCCCCCCCCCCCCGCCCCAAACAGGGTTTAGGGCTACCCTAAACCCTAATCCCCCTAAACCCCCTAAACCTGGCAAACCCTTACAACCCTTAAAACCCTAAACCCTAACCCTAAACCCTAAACCCTAAACCCCCCAAACAGGGGGGCCCAACCATGTGCAGGTTGGCGCCTCATCGAAGGACATTCGCCTTAGGGCGAAGGTCGTCCTGTAGAGTCTTGCTTAGGGTAGTGGGTACTTTCGGGTCTAGGGTTTAGGGTTTAGGGTTTAGGGTTGGAGGTTCAGGGTACTTACAACCCAGTTATAAGTGTAGTTATAGCCCACCTAGAAGCCCCTTAAGTGCCCTGATGGGGTTATAATTGTGTGATAAGTACAGTTATAGCTGGGTTACTAAGTACCATGAACCTCCAAGTAGTTATGTGGGCAGGGTATAGAAAGGTTAAAATAAGGGATCCTCTGTTCAGGGCCCATATTAAGGAGCATGTCACTGCCCCAAGAGTCTTGCTTTGTAGAAGTGCTGAGATTTTTCTGAGGAACCACGTTTCGTGTGTTGGTCCGGCTCTCCCCAAACACTTGCGACAGGTACGGCGTCTGTGTGTAGAACACACGTCGATGAAGCCTAAAACCTGAACCCATATAAATTCTACCTTCACGTTTGGGAGACGGCTGAACAGGGTGCCAGAACAAGAGCTGGCTTCGTTCCCCCTGCTTTTGATTCCAACGCGGCTGACTGCACCAGACGTCCTGGCACGGGGCTCCCTAAACCTACAAACCCTAGAAGCCCTAAACCCTTAACAGTACACCCTGCGCACACCCTACACGCCTGAAACCTCAGCCCCTAAACTCAAAGCCCTTGCCAAAAGATCGAGCTTTCAAAAGCCTAAGCCACACCCGAAGAGTCTATCTGCCTAAAGTGCTTCCTATATCGGGAACTTGGGGATCACAATTCATCATAACGTGATACACGGAGCTCTAGGGATATAACTCCCCTCCGTCCCCCCCATGTTTGCCAGGTGTTTCTGTCACCTATTGCCCTTTTTGAGCTGCTATGTGAGGCATGTAGGGTTTATTAGGGGTTTAGGGTTCAGGGCCCTTCTGAAAATGGCTCTGTGTGAGATTAGCGGTGACACCCCAACAGCACAGTGGATTCCGTCACCTCCTTTTGATTTTTGTGCCAGGACTCTGCTCAGCTTAGCTGCAGGAGTTCACAACGGGCGTGCCAAAGGTTGCCCTACAGGGTGGGGCCCCCTTACTATACTAACTGTAGTTAAGGGACTTATACCCTAACTTAGGGTCCTTATAACCCAATTTAGGGCCCTTATAACTCTACTTATAACTAGGGGGCCCCACCCTGTAAAGGCCCCCATCCACAGGCTCTTGAACTCCTAGGCTGCCCACCTATACCATAGCGCAGGTTTTCCCTTGTCTTAGCAGGGAGCAGGTTTGAACTCTTCTTTTTTTGTCTTACCCTTTCTCCCTACAAAATCCTTATAAAGCCATAAAGAATGTACCCCAGTTCAGCAGAAAAAAGGAAGGTGCTGTGTTCATGCTTCCGTTGCTCGGGAACCTAGAAATGGCTCAGGCCTTTTCTCATACGCCTCCTCCCCCTCGCCCCAATCCCCTGCAGCTGAGATACGCTTACCTTATAAAATGTATTTTGGAAACCCGAAGCCCTAAACCCACCCTAAACCCTAAATTCTAAACCCTAAGCCCTAAACCCTAAACCCTAAACCCTAGGCCCAGGCAGGTTCAGGCCCTTGAGAATGGTGGCCCGGCAGAGCAGCTGTTCACTGCCTGGCTGAGCTGGCTCAGCCGGGACGCGCTTTGGGCTGAGTTGAACAAGAGCCCTCCTGAGCTCAACAGCCATAAAGAAGCACCCTAAACCCTAAACCCTAAACCCTAAACCCTAAACCCTAAACCCTAAACCCTAAACCCTAAACCCTAAACCCTAAACCCTCAGCGGGCTTTTGTCAGACCCATCGAGCCCCAATCTAGTGCTGGGTGCAGCTTTTGAGAGGGTCCTGCGAAGGCAAGACCCCCGCCTCCCAGCAGAGAACGCCCTGGCAGCAGCGAAGCAGCTCTGTGAAGTCGGACTGGGGGTTTGGGGATTTAGGTTACCCTAAACCCTAAACCCTAAACCCTAAACCCTAAACCCTAAACCCTAAACCCTAAACCCTAAACCCTAAACCCTAAACCCTAAACCCTAAACCCTAAACCCTAAACCCTAAACCCTAAACCCTAACCTAAACCCTTTAGGGTTGTGGGTTTAGGGCTTCAGGGGTCTTTCTGAGGGAAGCTTGGCCTCCAAAAGCCCGTGATGTTTTAGGGCTGGGGGGGGTCTAAGGGCGTGGCTGTGCGGTGGTAGGGTTTAGGGTTTAGGGTTTAGGGTTTAGGGCTTAGGGTTTAGGGTTTAGGGACGTGTTCTTGGCTGAGCCTTTTTTCAAAGTCGATCCCGGCACCTAGCTTGTATACACTTGGCCCCCGAAGTCACCATCCCAGAGGAAGTGCTTCAAAGCCCAGCTGCAATTTAGGCCCCTTGTTGAAGGATACACAGGTTCCTTTCGGTCAAGCCTCTGCGCCTCTGCGCTCTACTTGGAGGTTCAGGGTACCTGTTGCCCAATTCTAATTTTGCAGCCATACCCCACTTATAAGCCCCTTCCGTACCCGAATATGGTGATAATTGGGGTATAAGTACAGCTATAACCCCTGGTTCTTAGTAGGGAATGAGGGAATGAGGGCCCTATATAATCCCTTAAAGGGTACATATATATATATATATATATATATATATAGGGCCCTCATTCCCTCATTCCCTATTAAGAACCAGGCAGATAGTTAGTTGGGTTACTACCTCCAAGTGGATGCCTAGTGTGCAGCTTGCGCAGCAGGTGAGAGTTTACGAGGTCATGCAGGAGGACCGGATGATTTCGGCTGGTTTAGGGTTTAGAGTTTCGGGCTCAGGGTTTAGGGTCTAGGGTTTAGGGTGTGGGGTTGTTTGGAGCATATTCATTTAGAGCTTCAGAGACTTCCGCCGTTTGATAGACCGGACGACTCTGTTGGTCAAGAAGACAGAGAACCGGAAGCTTGACAACCTAGTGGGTAAGGGCTACCGCTATCAACGGCTCGAATACGAAGGCACGCCGCTCCAGATGCAAGACCTCGTGGCATGCGCCTTTGTCATTCCAGGCAACATGTCACAAGGGATCGAAGAGACCTTCTCCATGGCTCCCCTGACGTGAAGCCATATGAGGTGCCAGGCATCATTGGGCAAACCCTAAACCCTAAACCCTAATCCCTAAACCCTAAACCCTAAACCCTAAACCCTAAACCCTGAACCCTAAACCCTAAACCCTAAACCCTAAACCCTAAACCCCAGCAACAGCAGAGTCGCGACTTCTACCAGGCGCCTCGAAGGCCCCAAGCCCTAAACCTCATCCCTAAACCTTGAGCCCTTAATTAACCCTAAGAGTCCATGTACCTATATAGTACATATTCGGGCCCTAAAGCTACCATATGGGAACCCCTTTAAGCCCCCAAGTATATACTATATGGGTACATGGACCCTTAGGGTAACCTTCATCCCTGGACCTTTACCCTGAGGATCTGGGACCAAGAGTCGGCTCTGTTCTCTTTTTTTTTTTTTTTTGGGGGGGGGGGGTTGGGTTCCCTTATTCCTTTGAACCAAAGAAAGGGTACCTTTTTTTCTACCTAGGTTATTGTAAACAAGGGGGTAAGGGACCATACCAAAGGCCCGTCGGGGTATCAACGTTGCACTTTAGGGGCTATAGCGTTTAGGATGGCAGAAGAACTGTACGTTTAGGGTACAGAGGATTACCCAGCGTTGGACCTCCTATGGCTCTGTCACTCCAAACCGACAGAGACTCCACACCTGAAGTTGTCGACAAATGCTGTTTAAGCCACATGAGGGTGTTGGTAGCAGCATCTCTATACAACTAGCCCTAAGCCCTAAATCCTAAACCCGAAATCCTAAACCCTAGCTCCTAAACCCGGAACCCTAAACCCTAAACCCCCGAAGCTTCCGGAAGAAACCTCACAACTCCTCTCCGGAGGACATGGAAATACTCTTTTGTGTGTGTGGGCACGTTAATTCCAAAGAAACAGCAAAACTTATAGCTTTTGGCAGGGTTCCAAGTTCTGTATAGCCCTAAACCCTAAACCCTAAACCCTAAACCCTGAACCCTAAGTCCGGAGGACATGGAGTTCCTACCGGCGCAGAAGTTTTTCGGCACCTTCAGCCCATTTCCGCTAGCCGTCAGGCGGCCCGCATTCTTGGAGCTCAAGGGATCGAATGTTTAGGGGTTAAGGGTTCAGGGTTAGGGTTTAGGGTTTAGGGTTTAGGGTTTAGGGTTTAGGGCTTAGGGCTTAGGGCTTAGGGTTTAGGGTTTAGGGTTTAGGGCCCCAATTCCCCGGAAAGTGACACTGAGGCCCAAGTGCCTAGACCCCTTGAGGAACTCCACCCCGAGCCCTTACCTATACATGCTTGCCGTTTATCCTCAACCGCCCTAACCCCTAAATACCCTACAACACCTTGTAAGAGGGTTTAGGGGTTAAGGGTGTTTTTAGGGTTGAGTGTTTAGGGTTTAGGGTTGAGGTTTGAACCATAAACCCCTCAGCCCAAGCTATGGAGTCCCCAAATCCTAAACCCTAGACCCCAAACCCCTGAAACCTAAACCCCAACCCCAAACCCCAAACCCTAAACCCTAAACCCTAAACCCTAAACCCTAAACCCTAAACCCTAAACCCTAAACCCTAAACCCTAAACTTAGGCCCCAAAGCCTACAACCTAAACCCTAAATCCCTCGATCCCGAGTGTCGGAGGCCGGGGTTTCTTCTTGTGACGAACGAGCCGGAGTGCAACGAGGCTGCCAAATTGACGAGTTCGGGGTAACCGGGTAACCCTGCGGATCCATGTAGCTATAGTATAGTATAGTGCTAGGGTTTAGGGTTTAGGGTTTAGGGTTTAGGGTTTAGGGTTTAGGGTAAAGGGTTTAGGGTTTAGGGTAAAGGGTTTAGGGGAACCCCCTTTAGGGTTTAAGGTTGTGGGTTTAGGGCTTAGGGTTTGGGGCCCTAGGGGCCCATGTAGCTATATAGTATATATAATATACATACTTGAACCCTCAAGCTCCTATAATAGGAATCAACTTCAGGGCCCAAGTATATTCTACAAATGCACATGGATCCTCGGGGTAGTTA